AAAGAACAAAACAATTAGGGAAAAGTTTTGACACTTGAAGTAACAACTATTAATTAATTTTCTGATCCTAATTATTCCAGACTGGGAAACGCTATGGTTTACAATATTAATTTTCTGATCAATAGTGATATTTAGGCTTAAAATAATAAAAATGACTCTTCCCACCTCTTAAGGGTTAAGATCTCCTCCATTACTAATAATTACTCCAATAAAAATAATATTTAAAGTTGAATTAACCCTAATCGAATAATATTCTCCATCAAATCTGCAGATTCCATTTGGATTGGAGATTAGATCCCTCCAATTTGACAAACAAAATTAAAACATGGATGATCATTGGTTACTAATTGCTAAGAAAATGGCTTATTCTGTCGTCGTGATCTTTACCTAAGCATCTCCTTTGCTTTCATTTGACACAATTTTTTTGTATAAATAGTTGGTATCTTGCCAGAATCTTCTGAATTGTTTTCATTTCTTTGGGTTAAAATTAAATAATTAGTCTTTTCTTATAGGAGATCATGCTAAAGTTTAAGAGCGGTTTTATCCAAGCACCTATTTTTATCTTTCATACATTTTTTTTTAGTTTCTATTATTTGATTTTCTTCAATTTATTTAGTTCAGAAGTTAGAAATTAAGAAATGTATGTGAGAAGTAAAAGAGGATGTTTTGATAACACCACATTGATAATTGGCATGCTAAACTTGAGAGAGAGAGAGAGAGAGAGAGAGAGAGAGAGAGGCCTTAAAGTTAAGGGATATGCCCTTGTTGCGAGACATATAATATTGAGAAGAAAGCATGATTGGTGGGACAATTGTTTTCGACTGCAAACCCCACATGGAGATGGAGATCAATTCAGTTTGTGTTTCTTGGCTTGCCCTAAACCCTAACACATTATTAAGGAGGTACTTTCACTCCTGAGGCGTGGGTACCCTAGTCCTTTGCCCTTTTTTGTGCTTTGATGTAGGTGCACCCTAAATAAAATAATTGAGAATTGTTAACTAAATTAATCCGAGTGCCAAGATAAATTTTTTAAAAGAAGTGAGCATTTTAGGTTAGAATTCATGTGAAAACAATAATGAGTAACTAAATTACGGTGAGTTTAATTGTTTATGAATATGTCGGTGTAATGCTCTTTATGCAATGAATGAAAAATCTTACGTTCAAAAAAATTTAATGAAATCCCTTTATATAAGTTAATCACAAATAAATTATGTGTAGTGTTACGTATCATTGAAGATTATATTGATTTTTTTTTTGTTTTGAACAAATGATATTATCGAGAGTGAGGGAATGAGCTAAGCCTCACAATATACTAACAATAATGTGGCTCAAATTCGTTTTTGGCAAGAATTGAATCTAAGCCTACTTATAAATGAAGAGGAATACCACTAGACCGCATTACTAAGTGACGTATTGTTTCTTAGTTGTGAATCATCTTTCCTTAACAAACAGAGTAGGGAATAAATTGGGTTCAAAGATTGTTGCTTGTCTTATATTATTCTTTGTACCTTAAATTAATAGGGGTTTAATAAATAGCAATAAAACCTAGATTTACATCTCTAAAAGAAACTTGCACTTTCAAAAGGATAATTATTTTTATGGGAACGACATATTTTCTATACAAAATGAAGAACATGATCCCTTATAGAAGGATACTTGCAAACAAAAATATGAAATTACAAATAATATCCTAGATTTGGTAAGAAACTGTAAGAGACAGAGGAGTTCATAGAAATCAATGCATCTAGTGTTATAAGATCATGTGAGAGATGAAAGCTCTTAAACCAATTGGGAGATATGAAAACGTCATACTTTTATCTAGACTCTGCAAAGAAGAATATCGTGACTCTAAAATGCCATACGTTGACTAAAAATCATTTAACAATAGATCCGACGAACTCAACAATTTACCTCTGATATTTTGGTGAACCATCATACTGACAACACAACCAAACTCATCTATAGAGAGACTATCTAACTCACATAAATACCAAACTTGCTTATCGCGAGACCACACAACTCATACTGAAATTCTTGAGTTATTATAAACATAAAACCTAAATAAAACAAGAAAACAAAAAATAACACATAATTTATTACTTAACAAGATTCTCTCATTAATAGCTCGCAATTGAAGCTGATCGGATCATTATCGTCGCTTAAATTAGATCCAAACTTAATTCCACAATGCACTGATCGAGCCGATGAGTCCAACATGTAGACAAATGAGTAATGTGACTACCTATTTGTACTATCATTTGTTTTATCTCTTTAATAGAGGTAGGGCTCGTCAACGCATGTTGGTTCCATATTTATTAGACAAACGATATAAATGATGATAAAAATAAATAATAAAAGTGACATTTTTATAGACGATTGGATAGAAACTACATAACCTTGATGGAGGTTCCCAACTCTCTCTAATCACACAACATTTTAAACACAAAAATATACAAGGGAGTTTGAGTGAGATTTTGGTCCATTCTGGCCGTATAAATCATGTTTCACTTTTGACAAAGTTTGGAATTCTGGTAGCCGTTGGATTAAATTTTTTTAGTCAAGAATCTTTGAGATCCTTGGGACCTCGTATGCTTTCTCTGCCCTTTCGACCTAGTTATATGTACTTTTCGGTAAGAAAGCTCATTTCATTTCACCTTTACATAAGTAGAAGAAAAGGAGGTGGGCCCTTTGTGGAAATTGCCAATAAAAAAACATTCATGTGGGGCCTTCTTCCCTTGTTTTCTTGACTTTATTTAGGAAACCTAATATATTTGGAAATGAAATAGAGACTGAGAGAGCAGCTGCAAGAGCCTTGCACATTTTTAACCTCAAATTTAATGTACGTTGAAGCAAGAAATAGATGTCAATTTTTAAATATTATTAAATTTGAAGAAAGAGGGTTAGTTGAAAAGGACCTATCATTCTTCATTAAATATAATGAGTTATCCAAGCCAAGTCAAATTTAATTTTTGTTGCACAAATTAAAAGAAGAAGATGAATTAGTCATGAAAAAACTTATTCATTTCCATTGATTACAATGAGTTGTCTAAACTAATTCAATGTTGGACACCAAACAATGCATGTATATACATGTTATGCAATCAAGTTCGTCAAAATGTCTGAAGATATCCTAAGTTTGATTTGCTTACTCAACAATATATATAAACTAAAAATCATATGATCTCCAACAAACTTAATTTAATAACTTCATCTACGATAAAGGTACGACCCATCAGTACAATTAAGTACTACCTTTATTAGAAACGTGATACTAGTCTGGTCTTCTAAATATGTTCTCCCAAACATTTTCATTTAGTAATACTTCAATTTGTGAGATTGCTGGACATGTTTGTGTTGTTTCCTAACACCTAATGTTTGGAGTCTAATGATTCTCTAACATAGTCTTAACTTGATATGCATTGTTGTGTTGATCTCCAACAGTTGAGTTTTGTTTTGGTCTAATGATAATCTAACAATTTTGATTAAACAATAAATAGTAATTAGCTACTATCATCATATTTTGAGATTTTTTGATATATCTATCTTATGAGGTCCAATGTCTTGTTTCCACCATGCAACAAAAATGCATTGGAACATCACATTCACTCACTCAACATTTATCTTGAAAAACAATAAGAGTATAAGCCATCACACATAGACGGGAAAAGATTGGTCAAATTAGGTAAAGTCACCACTAAGGTAGATTACCCAAAAATTAAAATACTAAAAATTGAGTGGCTTCTTCTTATTGGTCATTGATCAATTGGCCCTTGGACCATCAATTTAGTGAGTGATGATGGTAGGTTAACATGGTGGGGTCCTCCCACAGACATGAATATCATGATTTTATTTGGGTCCAAAGTTTGGATTGGAGAAGGCTTCTTGGTAAGAAACACCATACAATTATGTCAATTATACACTAATGAGAAATGCTAAGGAGATCATCTCAAAAGTAGAACTCTTCATAGATTTACTGTCACCTTATGTTTTTGGCACAGTGTTTAATAATGTTGGCACGATAATTAAGTTAAACTATGAGGTGACGGAAAATCTATAGAGAATCCCGCTGTAAAAGAGCCTCCTTAGCATTTCTCCTAACTAATTAATCCTCAAAGAAAATAGAGAATAGAAGAAGAAGAGAAAGAAAAAAATGATTTAGTGGATGTTAGGCAGGAAGCCCAGAATAATTCACAACATTGGCTGATTACTGATTTAATATTATGTACACTTTTTGTTAGACAATGCTTAGGGTTAGCATCATTTGTATTACTATTTAAATGGTTATTAGGATGTACTTAGTGCTTGTGTAGGAAAATCAATAGATGATTAAAATTTCTTCGACAAAGCGATATTTTAATCTATTGTAAATTATAGAGGAACTTCGAGTTTACAGGAAAGCACTATGTTCTAGACAAATTAGATATTCAATACAAAAGAGCGAAAATCTAAGTTCGAATCTCCTTTTTCCTTTTGAACAAGTTGAAAAAAGAAACGAAAAACAAATAACCAACTATCTATCGAGGTGACACCATTTTTGGGCCTGGTCCAATAAGATTATGAATTTGCTTTCTCAAGAGTCATGGGCCGAAAGTAAAAAGTACATATGTTTGAAATATTTCACATCTACCTCCATTTATGTGTATTTTTCACGATCTATAGTATTCTCTTCGTTTCAATTAGTAAAATTTGATATTCTGTTTGTTCATTGTAAAAATATTACATGCAATATTACAGGACTGGCACAAGAGAGATTGTAATATTATTAAATTGACACAAAAGAAATAACGTTTGGAGTGTACTCGTGTCATAAAATCTTTTTCCTGATAACCAAGGATAGTTGGATTAAGGTTTTACAGTTTCCACATCTTACGCAGGCATGCCATATGCATGATGTCAGTGGAATCATATGTTTAATTAGAGTAGCAAACGTAACAAGGGTTTAGTGCTCAATTATAATTAAGTCAACCAACATCATCTGCAAACTTTGTAACAAGATTCCATCAGAACAAACATGTTGCACAATCTTTTGTGTGCTCTCGATATATTAATAAAAAGTATATTGCACAAGTGCTGCAAGAATGCGTCCATTAAACCTTCCGTTTCTTCTTCTGACTTCGACACCAAAAAACCCGAAAAAAATGCTTCATCTTCTTCCTCCGACCTTAAAACTTCCGTTTTCCCCTCCCACTGCCTTAAAGGCTTCATAGGGGAAATTCTAATACCTTAATTCACTTAACCAACAAGGGATTTGACAAACTGCAATAACGACTGACGCAATAATTCCTCTGCTTTTTCTTTTGGAAAAGACAATGGTGCAACAATATGCATACATATGCAACAGTAATATTCAACAAAAACAGACTTACATGACAACAATACAGATGTACCATAATTAGACGAATGCATGCTGACACAGGACAGGATGCTACGAAGACGCATTCATGATGACTTGACATAGGACTGCAACACTAAAATCCAGTTAACTACTGGGTGCTCGCCGTGTATGGTAGCCGACTCAGGACAAGTGTAACCAAATATCCCACATCATTTCTGCAGAAAAATTTCAAATGCTGCAGAGATGAAGATGACAATCATCAAAACCTGTAGACTGCACGGCACTATAGGTTGCTCAATATGCATGCTGACCAAGACTCGTTGAAACTTCAAATGAAAAGCCCGCACCTTCATTGCCATGTAAAAATCCTGCAAGTTTACACATGAAGATGAGATAATAAACAAAGAAAATACTTGAGATAGTAAACAAAGGTATCATTAACAAAAAGAAGTAGCAATTACAATAGAATTAATAGTCAAGGGTGCCTAATGACATTTTACCACTAGGAGAAAATGGAATTAAGGAAAACAAAAGGAAAATCTGCCATATACGTGTAAGATATGCAAACAGGGAATTGAGGAAATTCATACATGCGAGATAGTGCTAACACTCATCCATGGGTTGATGTATAGTGCTAGCATGCCTAGATTGAGAAATAAAAACAAATACAGCCACAACTTAAACCAAGTAAGCTTTCACTGTAACTTGAAGAAACCCCTTTAATGTTGAACAAACAAGGCTTAAATATCAACCCTAGAGACCCCTCTACTACAGAAAGAAAATCAAAACCATTCATCTTTTCCACAAACGCACAACCAAAACTGGCTAAGAGTCCCAAGGTCGTTGTTTTCCTCCTGCCACACCATGAGCAAACCAGTTTTTGGCAATATTCAAAACTCAAACCCGTCCCAGTTCAACCTAAGATTGTTTCTGCAAACAGTAAAACCACTCACCAAATAAATTTACATACAAATCATCGTACATTTAAAGCCTATTGTTATCAGGTTGCAGCTAATACCCCAGATTCACCATTCAGTTTCAACAACAAATTTTTTTACACTATTAATCAATAAATGTTCCAAAACAAGTAATACTTTTTTCTTACCATCCAACTTCTAATCTGTAGTTTACTAAGTGGTAGTATTTGCACCACTAATCAAATATTAAGCTACTCACAACACTTACCTAAAAAAGATGTATTTCTAGGCGGTTATCAGCATTCCAATAGACAATACATCTTTTAGATACAAAAATTCTTATGAGTACATACCACCAAGACGGATCCATATATATTGTAAAAAACAACTTTGATTGCTTATCATCCAAGGGAAGAAGAGCATATAATGGCATAGCGAGGATATGATTAGATAATTTCTTATATAGCCCAATACATTTCAATCAAACTGCAAGTTACTCATTGCTGATGTTCAGTGCACTCAATCAGTTTCTAATTAGTGTAAGACAATGACTAAGAAATAACAAGGTAACAATCTTTCTGTATCAGAGCATATCTCACAGCTACAACCCCCCATTGTGTATCACATGCTTAGTCACCAAACTATTGCTACAATATGAATATATCACAAACAATTCCAGACGTAATTAAAACATGCTTCATGAAGATCCATAAAAAATAATAGGAATGGTGCACAACTACAAAACAAGAAAATATTTTGTATACATACTCACTTAAGCAATCGGGCATTTATAAACTTCGCAGAGACGATGTAGTTCTGCCTGATTGGTTGGGTCAAGATACTGACTGAAGATTTGAGGGTATCTGCCTGGGGAAAGTGCAGCAAGCCTAGCCAATGAATTTACCAAAAATTCTTTCGGATCCCTGATATCTTTCAGTGGGTCGTCCTCTCTCTTCCCAGCATTGTGAAGACGAACAAAGGTGGCAGAGTAACCTGCATTTTCAGCAATATCAGGCATTTCTGGATCCTCTTCAACCCTGTCCTGTTCAGGGCGTGAAAGAAGGGTCATAATGCTGTCCAGCATCTTCCCCCAGTGCTCAACAGCTGCAGCATCCAGAAGGGCTGGAGATTCACATAGAAGTCTGGTTGATGCAACAGCAGTCAACTTAGTCTCAATGACTCCTGTAATTAGCTTAAGATTGGAAATCCAAAACTGCACCAAGATGACCTGAAATATGTTTCCCTGAACAGCATTCATTGTATCTGCAAGGTTTTGAGAGCCGTGTTTGACCAGAAAGAGTGACATAAAAATCAAGAGAGACTTGATAAACTTTCCTGTTTGCCTGGTTTGGAGCACCGTGAAAAGGGCACTCCAAATGCCACCAATATAAGGTGCAATTACATTATATTCAAGGCTCTCAATAATAGTATTTAGTACATAGAAACCCTGTTCATCTGTGCTACGAGTGGAGACGAGTTTATTAAATATCACAAGCACCTGCTGCAACCTCCCCCCTTGGTTGAGCTCATGGGGTGCCTTATGAAGGAATGCTTGAAGCAAACGCACAAGAGCTGGAACATTAGAAGCCTTTTTCCATAAATCAGGGGACAAAAGTATCTCAAAAATATGCATGTAAGACGGTGAAATAGGTGGGTTATTCAGCTCAACTAGTTGAGCGAGCAACTGAAATGCATAAGGAAAGAACTCGGTCACATCTTCGACCAATATCTTCTGGAGACTGGGAAATAGGCTTGTCTCAAAAAGTGATATTAGAGAGGCATTCTTCCCACATGCACGCTTTACAAGAACAGCCACTGACTCGAAAAGATAGTGGTTAAATACTGGATTCTTGGGGTTTTCACAAGCTTTGTTGAGTATTAATGTTAACCCTTTAATGCAAGGATCAGCAATCTCATGTGATACGTCTGCAACTCCTAGAACTCGCATAATACACTTCATTACATATTGGTTTTCCTCAGATTCTGGAACCTTCAAGGCCTCAAAGAGGTTGTTCATCAGTTGTGGCAGAACAGGAGATATATCTGCTGAAGTATATATTGCTCTTCCACCCTCGTCCTTCACCATCAAAAGTTTCTCAATACAACTTGCAGCATAAGAGTGAACAACATTTGACTCTGCACGAAGGAACCGAATCAAATCCGGAAAAAATTGCAATGCTATAGGCTTTGGTATATGATTCCTGAACATAGTGAAAAATTTTAGTGCACCGGCCTTGAGCATTGGAAACCCATTGACATCCTGACTCTGCAATTCGGAACAATTACCGTCCCAAAGAAGTTCTGAACGTCAACAAGATCAGTTGTAACAGAAGTACCACCAGCCTTCTTAATAGCAAGTGATACGACCAAGTATATAGCACAGTCCTTATCCTTCCAATTCGCAACTGGGTTTGTAGCAAAAGAGCTTAGCAAATTCTGTATCTGTAGAGAAACCAAATTAGTAACCTGTTGTTTATAATTGCTAGCAATCCCTTTAAGAAGCTCACACGCAATCCTCCTCCTAGTATCGAGATCACTACCTTCCATATCCCTCCTGATGAACTCAATATAGTTCATGTCAAATAGTTCTTCATCCTCCTCCCTTAATCTCACATTAGGGATCACAATGCCCTGACAAATCTGTGGTATCACACCCTCTGCAGAAAAAAGATTATGATGCACACTTGTGCTAACTGTTGTCAAGAACTTAATAGCTGTAACAGCTAACTGATCACGGCTTGACACCTGAGACACATTCCCCAATAAATGCCACACAGCAAGCGCAAAATCATTCAAGTACGTCTGAAACTCTTCCTCATTCTTTTCCATATAAAGGTTAATATTCTCACAAACAGCTGCACGCAACGCATCAACCAGTGCAAGACCATCAGCGCTGCTCTCCAGTACTGGATAACTAGTGGTTAAATACTTTTTCATCTCAGTCATCCACTCATTCATATGGTCCTCAAAAAACTCAGGCAACTCTTGAAAATTCAATGAGTAGAAAATCCTACAGCACAATCTCTGTGACTCAAAGAGCGGCTTAAGCACAGCAGGCCCACCGGAATTAGCAGCAGACTCTATCAAATTCGAGGTTTTTATGAAAATTTCCAAAAGAGGTGCGGCGAAATTGTCCAAACAGTATTTCAAATCAAGCAAAAGATCATTGGTCTTGTACTGATAACGAAATTTCTTAAAAATCGAGTTGGCAGTGCCGAGAATACCGTTAATGGAGGCGTAGTCTCCAGCGAGTGAAGCCGTCCGGAGGCTGGAGATAAGCTCGGGAAGCAAAGCGGGCCACAGCTTAGGGAAATCGTGCTTGCCAATGAGAACTAGGGCTTCGCTGAGCTGCCCCTGAATTTTGGGGGTCGCAGAGAGCATGAGGGAGACGATGAGTCCCTTGATCTGCTCCTTCTCAGCGTCGGGGATGGGGGTCTCGTCGGAAGAAGAGTTAGGAGCCCATCGCGCCTTGAGATGGTTTTTGAAGTTGACGGAAGCGGCCTGCCGGATTTGGTCATCGACGGTGGGCTCGGCAACGAGGCGGAGGACGGCGAGGCCGTAATTGGGGTGGAGGGATGCCTCGGAGAGTGAAGCCTCGGCGCGGCGGCGAGGTTCGGGGGACGGAGAGAGAGTGTGGAGAAAGCACTGAGAGAGGTGCTGTAGGGTTTCGGAGTTCCACTCCATTGATGGGCGATGAAGCTCTCGCGGTCTTCAGGGTTTTGCGGGGGAAAAAGGGGGACTAGGGTTTATGCGATGTGTGGAGATTTTGAAAGCGAGCGGAAGGTGTTTGTGAAATAACAGAGAGAGAGAGAGAGAGAGAGAGAGGGAGAGAGGAGAGGGAAAATCGAAGAGTTTGGGGGATTTTAATTTGGGGATTTTTGTTTTCCAATTTATTTGGGAATTTTTGGTCCGTAGAAGCAAGCACTGCCAATTATTCCCCCTTCAAACGGCCTCGTTTGGTAGCCCTTGCAATTGGATTGAATTGCCCTTGCCATTGGGTTGAATTCCCCCAATCCAAAAAAAGTTGCTCCAGGCGATTGGGCCTAGGGCTGCCCCTGCGGTAACTGCTTGGGCTTGAGCTCTTCCACTACAGAAACTGCCGACCCGCGTGCACCCCAAAAGCCCTAAGAAGCCCTCCACTTTCTCTTTTCTCCTTGGACCTGCCATTTGGTATAGATTGTTTAAAATTAAAAAAAAAAAAAGCCCTAAAAGAGCCTCCTTCAACGTGCAACTAGCATTTGCCTACACACTTTGTGTGTATGAACACATTTTTTTAGAAAATGAGAAGGAGAGAGAGGGAGAGTGGGAGGTTTTTATTATTTTTATTATTTTAAATATTAGAGATATTTTAACATCACTTGTAGGTAAGACTTCAATAAAAAACAGTAAAATTTGAACCTATGAAATTACATTATTGCCATCATTTTTTTTGTGTGATAGAAGACTAAGTTGTCTTTTCACCCTCTTTTGGTTGACAAAGAGGGTTTCATTAATTAATAGAGATGCAATGCTAAACGGTTTGGATTGCTTTCACAACCTTTAGGACCTGTTTGGTTTTCTATTTGAAAATTTTTATAGTTTCTCAAAACATTTCTTGAAAGCAATTTTCTTTAAGACTCAAAAACTTGATTGGTTTGCGATTTAAAATTTTTAAATCTTACAACTTAAACTAGACAAAAAGATCTAAAAAGAGAGGATCGCAGGAGAGGGAGTAGGAAAGAAAGTAAGAGATGATTGAAGGAAAAAGAAAGAAGGGAGAAGATCTGTAATACCCTGAAAATTTAAAATATATGAATATGTGGAGAAAATCGAAAATAGATCGATTTATGATTATGAAAATTTAATCGAGAAATTTAAAATTTTTGTTACTTGAAATTATTATAGTTTACGTCGTAAAATTTGTCGATAAGTGAAAAAGACGAAAATGACCCCATTGTATTAAATGAGATTCTTCATGGACATATTTGATCCCTTCATGATTTTTCAGATTTCTTTACATATTTGGGTAGTACTCGTTGATACGAATGCATCGGTGCAAACAGAGTGTAATTTGGAGTTATAATGAATAAATTATAGACGTTTTAGTAAAAAAAAAAAAAAAGAAAAAAAAAAGAAAGAAGAAGAAGCTGCCAGATGGCAGCAGGAGAGAGGAGAAAAGAGAGGGTTGCGGGAGGGAAAAGGAGAGGGGATGGCCAATCAGGAGAAGAGGGAAAGGAGGGGAAAGGATGGAGAAGAGGAATAAGGAACCAAATTTCCTTTTGACCCCCCGACCCGACCCGGCCGTATCTCCCTCATCTGACTTTCGTTTGGGGTGATCTTGGTGTCCATGGAAAGATCTTGGCGAGTCCAATGTCCCTGTGGTGTTAGATTTCTAAATTTCTAACCTAATTTTACAAATCAAAGTCACAAAGTTCCAGTTTGTCTAGCTGGTTTCACCCTTTTCCAATGATTCCAACAACAATTACCATTGATCCCCACCACTAATAGACTCCCCTTAATCCCAGGTGAAAGGCCCAAGAATTGATTGTAGCATCAGAGTTCGTTTTGGGCCTTTGGCGTTGAATCAAGAGCATCAATTTCTAGGGTTTCCGATGGTGCGAGACCAATTTCAGGTGCTTCCCGGCCGAATTGAACTTCAGCCCAGGTATGAAAGTTGTTTCCCTCATTGAGATATAACTCTTTGTAAAATTTGGTAATATTTAGAGTTAGTTCGAAAAACTGGATTTTCGGCAGGTCGAGGCAATTTCCAACGTCTTCCCGGTAGACTTGGACTTCGGCCCAGGTATGAAACTTGTTCCTCTTGTTGTGTTTATAAGTTTGTAAAATTTGGTAATTTTTGAAGTTCATCGGAAAATTGGGTTTCCGTTCTCTGGAAACCGCCAGCTGCGGTGGCACGTGGCCAGTGGGCCGATGCTGCCTTTTTAATGCAGATTTCGATATTCTAAATTCATTTTTGGGTATCCATTTGATGTGTTTCAATTGCTAAATATGGTATTGAATATTTCCTCCACTTGAATATTTTAGGAAATGGATTAAAAATGAAAGGTGAACTACGAATGACTTGATCCTTATTAAGGGTACGTAAGCAGTCTAATGAGAAGTTAGATGCAGCCATAAAATAACTGAGATTAATCTTTTATTGAAAATTTTTCTAAGAAAAGGAATTGGGTGATTAATTTAAAAATAAATCTTAAGGTTTAATTTCTTTGGGCCTACCATAGTAATTATCTTTCGAATTAAGAAATTGGGTCGTTACAGGATTGGACGAGATAGAGAGGAAGAGGAGTCAGAGAAAGAACCCAGAGAATGAAGAAAGCCGATTGGAGGAGAGCCGAAAATGGTAAAAAGAAAAAGATGAAAGAGAAAGAAGAAAAGAGAGATATAGATTTGGAGTGAGAGAGAAGGAGGAAGAGAAAAGGAACGAGTGAATTTAAGTTTAAAAACTCTAAAAACTCAATTTTTATGTTTTTAGAGAATAAACTATATTTTTGAGTTGGTTTTGAGATCAGTTTTTGAAAATAGTCCTACCAAACAAGTTTTTAAGGCCTAAAACTTGAAATTATTTTTGAGTTTAAAAAGTTGGATTCAAGTAGAGTACTAAACAGGTCCTTAGATTTTCAACGGGTCCTTTTATTTAGACCGTTGCATTTCTAACTTTAAAAATAATTGAAAATTATAAATTGTTGTCATACGTTATAATTTGTTGCACGGTCTAGGATTAATTTGAAGGTAAAAAAATTTAAAAGAATTTTAAAAATTAAACACACTTAACAAACTTACAAATATAGATTTTTTTTTTCAAAGAACAAACTTACCAAGTACACACTTACAAAGCATAAAGTATAAAAGAAAATATATTAGTTAATAGTAATCGCCCTTGCCCTTCCTCGTTCTAAACGGGTGGACTTGCACAAAGACAATTATTGTTTAGAGTGAATAATAAGAACACTTTTATTACGCTTGCACTCTAATTGTTAGTGCCCTCCACCAATTGGTGGAGATACTCTTAATATCATAATTTTTTTTCAAAAGGAGTATATGTATTGAAAAGTGTAAAGATTGACTGAAATATTTGTCCTACTATATACGATTTTGTGATGATCATATTTGGACAATTTAACATTTATGGTTTTTTTATCACTTAGTAATATAGTTTAGTGATATTTTTCTTTATTTATAAGAGAGAAATCTTAGATTTAATTTTCGTCAAAAACAAATTTATATCCAATTATTATGGCTAGTCAATGATACAAGGCTGGTCCTAGCTCAGGGCAAATAGGGCCCATCCCAGAGCCCAAAGGCTAGTGGAACACCAAATTTTGTTTTATAAGAAGAAAAAAAATAGGGTTAATCTCAGTTTACTACGCTAAAGTTTCATGGTTTTCAACATTTGGTACATGAAGTTTTTTTCATCCCAGAGTCATACCTCAAGTCTTAATTTTAGGACAGTCTCTGACATCTGTTAAGCTTGTTGTTAAGTTAGCCGTTAATTGGTGACGTGGTGCCTACATGGACAATAACTTTGTGCCACATGTCATTAAGGACCCATGTGGAAAATTAAAAAAAAATCAAAAAATTAAACAAATTAAAAAAAAAAAGAAAATAAAAAGAACAGATGTAGCCATTTCTGAGGCCGAAGGTAGCGTCCTCCTCTCCTCCCGTTTGTATTTCCCTTCGCTCGTACACATGCTGTAATAAAACCCAATTCTGGACTTCCTTCTAAACCCACTCGCAGCTCATGTCTCCTCCTCTTTTCCAACAAGACCTGCGGCACTGGTGTAGGAGTTGCCATGTTCGCCAACAAGTTCATTAGTACCACTTGTCTCACCCCCTCCGACGCCCAGAACTTCTGCTCCATACAACTCCAATGTCCTCGCCGACTCTGTCGACTTCAATTTGCTTGAGAGGTCTTTAATTTGTTGGCCCGGTTTTTGGCGTAGGCTTTGCCAGGGTTCTAATTGATGCCTTTTCGAGATAAGAGTGAGAGAATGAGGGAAAGAAAGATATGGAGGAGTTCGTCGGAATTAGATGGGGTTATGGGTTGTTGCTCTCGCCACCAACAATGGGGTTATGAGGATTATGGAGGGTTGGGTGGGGTTATGGGCTAATAGGGAGGGTTTGGCCCATTTGGGTGGCCGACACTCTTTTTTTTAATTTTTTAATTTTTTAATTTTTAATTTTTCACGTGGACCCTTAATGACACGTGGCACACCGTCATTGTCCACGTGGGCGCCACGTCACCAATTAACGGCTGACTTAACAATAAGCTCAATGGATGCATGAGACTGTCCCAAAATTAAGACTTAAGGTATGACTCTGGGATGAAAAAAAATTCATGTACCAAATGTTGAAAACCACGAAACTTTAGAGTAGTAAACTGAGATTAACCCAAAAAAATAATGTTGAAAACGTAGCAGCTTTCCAAGGCAAGTGAAAAAGCTCATCAATATTGTAACAGAAAAGCTCATTAACATTGCAATGGGAAGAAGTTACTGAGAGAACAGCAACAACGGAATGAATTGAAGAAAATGTCAATTTCTAATATGTTTTTCCTTGATTCCTTTTGCTTTAAAGAAATAAGAGAGAATTAGAGATTCAATTATAATGTTTTTTTGCAGGTTCTTTGCAATTGGGAATTAGGGTTTTGGAAGTTTCAAGTAGAAGAATATTTCAACATCTAGGTTTTATTGTTCTTTGGTTATAAGCACATGCAAATTCGGTTATTTCTTTGTTGTTGGATTCACACTCTTTAGCAATGTATTGGTTTTATTTGTTCAAAAAATTATAGTGATTCCTAGCTCACGCTGCAGAATGATGAAGGAAAACA